AGTTGCCGGCATAATCAACTTTCTTTCCTACGTTTAGGACCTGAGCCACCAACACACTCGATACTTTTAGTTTTCTACGTTCCTTCCCTTCTTTCAAGCCTTATAGTCCATCAGACTGTGCAGCTGCTTGATTGATAGCCTGGTAGTTTGGTGAAGCTGCCTGCTCATCTGCAACTGCTTGACCTCGTGGGCAATTCTTGCTACTACGGTTGACGACACTCGACGTCTGGACAAGGATACATATCCATCGAGTTAGTGGGTCAATCTAAGAATTCATCATTCCAGGTCCGAGGCTGGAGTAATGCTGTTCTTACTCCGCTACAGATTCTTCCTGAAATCTGCTGCTGTCTTTGCCCAATGTGCCATGGCCACAGATCTAAGGCCAACACCCGACTGAGGCCGTTGAGTGAACATGCAGCGACCAGCGTTCTCTTGGATACTGGCCTGTGATACAGTTGCGTTGGCATCTACCGGGATACCACAGGTGGTTAACGCTGTGATTGGGTGACATCCTAGATATTCGCTATAAACCATGTTTGCCTTCAGAAGAAGCTACATGAACTAAGGTATGAGCCTTTACTTGTCAGAAGGCCAGGCCACCGCCACCCACGTGAAAGTGAAGTAACAATACTTGGTATTTTACTCCTGAGGCTTTCTTTGTAAGCAACATATCAACCGAATGTCTACCGTGGCATTTTCTACGTAAGCAGACACCGAGCCATAGTGAAATTCTGAACCCTCTGCAGAGTACGGAGTATGTCTCTTACGACTAAGTCGTCAGTCTTTAGAACGTCTTCAAAAGACGTTATCGACCATGCCCGTAGCCAAAGCTAGCAAACCTTCGCGGAATGGCCAGAATAAAAATCGTGCAGTAGCCAGAACTAATCATCAGGTGATGTGACCCGGATGATTCTCTAATGCTCTTCAGTGGCACAGGCAGGGGTGTTGATTCCCTCAGTGGTACATATTTCGGGGCAGTTCACGCCCCCTAGCAAAGCATAATACCGTGTCTAACTTTATCACTCAATTAGGCCGGCGAGCTTAAGGGAGACGCTTCCTACGATCTACTCTCTCCGTGGTATGATGTACAGGGGATGAGGCTTGGGAACAAAGTACCTCACCCTCGTGGTCTGTCCTATGTCATCGCCTTGCCACTGATAGCACCACGTCCGAGAGCTATTCTGAGCTTGCCACAATTCTGGACCTTGCTCGCACCCTGAGGGCAGCCCAATCACTGTGGAGGTTTCAGGCTAGATGGAAATTAACTTCTTTCTGCTTGTATCACCCGGCCTTTCTCGAAACACGTGTGCTTGAATTCAAATGCAAAAGGTCCACTTTACCTTTGTACTTGACGCTTTACACGGGCGAGCATGGGACTCATGTGATGACAGACAGCCGGTTGCTGAGCTACACGATGCTGCTGCAAACTTGACTTTTTGGTCAACGTGGTATGAGCGGTCGAGAATGCTCAGCAACCTAAGCATACAATCCTCAAAGCCTACCGATCTGGATACAGGCTGAGATTTGTACTTCGCAGTTCAGTCATCAAAGCAGCAAATGCCATTGGTGATGGCACACCAACGAGCATCACCTTACTCCATACTGCAGACGCGCGCAAGATCGCTGATCCTTCTCAAGGATCTGCTCTTGTGTATGTAGATAACCGACCGACTCGGTCGCAGAGCTTACAAATGAATTCATGGCTTCCGTAAATTCGTTTTTTCCCCCAGAAATTTGGTTCTCAAGCCGGCGGAGATGAACAGTGTCTATCAACCATCAAACGAAGACCATCAAAGCCGCAAATTCGTGGATGACGACTAGTTATTTACTCAAACAGGTGAGGACTTGGCTGCCATTCCCTAAAGATCAGGCGCTACATATTCTGAGAGGGAAAATGCCGACATGTCTGCAACCACTACCCGAAAAAGCCTTGAGGTTGTTGCGCCCCTCATGGTGCTTTGTTTCAAGGAAACCTTTCCCCTGAACTCCTCTACCTCCATGTGCTTGTTGATGGAGAATCATTAAGCTGAATTTCTGTGGCTCAGCCCTATTTCCGGGGCTCGTCTACTCCGTCCACGATACGATTGCAGCAGCCCGCATGTTGTTGCAGATGCGTTCCGTCAAGACAGTCGCAGATGACTATCTAATGGTCGTACTCCGTACGATGATGTACTTGTGACCACGCCGCAGCGGCCTCCCAGGATTGCCGCCGGAAAGCCACCCCGAGCAAGTGGCTAAAATGTCTCCAATTACTCCAGCTCATTCGACTTCGGGTTTGCTCTAAGTTAGTAGTGGAATGAGTTTCCATACTGACCCTCATAACTCGATGCCGAAGGAAGTGTCGCAAGAGAGGACAAGGTCTCTGACAAGGAACCACGTATAAAACCACCCCAGGGCGCAAGCGTGCCAGATTTGTGTCAGAGCAAAGCGTAACGATTCGGTCTCCTATGTCAGATCGGAGGGCTAAAGTGCTCAAGGTTCTCGGGGCGCCCAACATTTGTCGTCTGGCAAAACTCGGGCATCGCTCCAGTGCCAGATCGCCGGTACAAAGACTCCGGGACTGTTCTCGTATATGTTGCCAAAACCGGCCCCTTCCAAATGAGGCAAACACAATGCTTAATTAATCACCAGGTAGTCGGCTTTGAAATCGTTGAAGGGAAAGTAAAATCCCACTTTCGTCTGGCAAATCCATCGAGCAAGGCGCATTCGGTCTGAACATAACGTTCGGTTATGTCTTTTTTTCGTACTGATCACTTTCTGAATCCCCAAGGACAAGACATTTCATTGCCTGGTGCTATCTAGTCTATTGGCATTTGCTCTCATCACCGCACGAGCCTGGTGGAAGGGTTTTCCAGCCAGCATTACTTCTGGCTCTTCGCCTGCGCCTCAGGATGGACAGTGGCACAACGAAGCAACATCTGCTAAGTTGAGGTCGTACATTCTGGAGCTTGTCCAACCATAGAGCGCGGGTTGAGGTTGTGCAAGTGGTTTAGACCAACCCTCTATGCTGCTTTCCGATTCCCTTGCCACCAATTATGATATCTTATTTATGTATACGCTAACGTGAGCAAACGATCAAGCGGATACGATAAGAGTCCCGCCGATGCTGTCCCAGCCATAAGGTTATAACAATCCATGCTGACTTTGCTGCTACAAGCGTTCAACCTTCTCCCCAGGTAAATACTTCACAGGACCCAGAAACGGTAGTTTCTATTTCAGGTCGACCACCTCCAGAAGAGCCGAGGAACCAAGACGACTTGGCCCTTCATGGGAACAGGAAGACCATACATATCATGCCATACCATGTAGATGGCATGGCATGGGGATGCATAAGAAGAGAAAAAAGATTTTACGTACGTGGAAACCAATTAACTAGTTACAGTGAATCGAACCTGTTGGAGCTGAGTAGATTAGTAAGTTGTATGAGTCCCAGTAACAGTACATGAACACGACGTCCGCTCTAGTGAGGGTAGTTGAAAATCAAATACAGATTGTTAGTAGTTAGTGAGATTCAGAAATAAGTAGAGAAGATCTCCCTCCCGTCGGGGCAAAACCTCCACAAATCAAATCCTGCTACCTATCACCTCAGCGCGTTCACTGTCACCATGCATACCACCTCAGCATCACCTTCCCTGCGTCGCTACACCCCCTTCTCGTCTCCTCCACGCTCCTCGGGGCCCCGAACTCTTCTCCTTTCCATGCTCTTTCCACCCCGACTCCTCTGATACCGCTACAGCTCCCCCCTATACGACGCGGAGCTGCCTGCTCCGGCTTGATCGCGGTTGGTTCGATGCGTCCATGACATGTCCAGCGGTCAGCGCGAAGAACTCGTCCTAATCCCTAGCGCTGCTGCAGCATGACCCGGGCTGGATGTCGAAGTCAGCTGGTTCTGAACCGATGATGGTGTTGTTGGCGGAGGAAGAGGTTCGAAGTCGATTGATGGCCCAGGGTGAAGGGATGGAAGGGAGGGTATTTTTTGTGCTCTCTTCTTCTTCCCCTCCTCACACTCTGTGGTCTTGATCTCAGCACCAGAGAGCAGAGGTGAGAATGCTGAAAGTGGTGGCGGAGCCTGGAAAGAGAGAAAAATAAATTCAGATACGAAGGTATGCTGTAGCCCTGCATACATTCCAAGACCCGGTAATGGTAGCACCATACACGCCCATGCCCCCACAAAAACGACATCGATGGAGATCGGGCTGAATCTGTGGGTTGGTTTCTCCCAATTCTCCTATCACCTTTTCAGATCTGCGGACGAAGGGTACAGCAGTAGCAGCTGATCACTCAGGATAAGGGTTTACCGAGGTCAAATGGGCATATTCGCACATGGAGTCCAAGGAGAAGGTTGAGAAGGACTATTTGCGGATTTTGTTGAAGGAAGGAAGCCAGAGAGTACACATGGCGTTTAATGGCTGGGCGACAGATTCTGGAGGGAGCCTTGCGCAGGAGTGTGAGGAAACGTGGCACAACGTGGGTTTGGTGGAGGAAATTGGAGGAACGTTAGATTGAACGGCCAGCTTTGGGTATGTGAGCTGAACTGGATGATTGGCCTTTTTTGCCTGTCTGCCAACTGCTGGACAGTGTGTCGGAGGGGTAGACGTTGAGCCAGTGTCTACTTGTGTACCTGGGTAGCATGATGTGAAACTTGCATGTGTCGGCTCTTGACTAGAATTCATTGTCTGTTCCAGAAGGGGTGACAGAGGGCTGTTTCCTGCATCTGACCTGAAAATCAATGGGCCTCGACGCTATTGCTTTGTCTTCAACCCGATCGACTTGATTTCGCGGCATGCCTAGACCAAAACCTGCGGCGACACATAACTCTTGCTAGCATAGCTGGAAGATTGTCATTTGTCCTTAGATGAATCTTGGTTTGTCCCTCCCTGCCTGGTTGCTTCTGGGGCCGCTGCTCTGGAATTGTGCCGTGAGCAGACAGCAATAGTGTAGATGTTGATGTAGATCTTGGTGACTTTGGCTGTTCTGTGGAGCAATGCATGAGCAGGGAGTCACTCTGCAGAAGCACTGATATTGCCAGAGCACAATACTTCGAAGACCGCTCGCCGGGTTATAGCCTTATCATCACGTGAGCTTTGACAGCCTTGCTGTAACTTGGAGATTGTTTCCTTTCTGATTTCAATCTGTTCAGGTTGTTCTTTGAATTCAACCTCGGCTTCTGATACCAGGTCGTCAAAAAATTTCGCTTTTCTTTTCTCCCTCGCATACTGTTCTCGATTCATTATTGCCGCGTTCTTCCATGATTTTATTTGGTTTAGAATCTTGTGCCGATCTTCCTGCGAAGACATTCCCACGTCAATCAGAGTTTCTTCGGTTACAGCATCATACCCTTTCCATGGAAGCCTCTCCAGCTGAGACCGGGAGCGACCTGAAGCAATGAGGCGGATGCGTTCTGAAAACCACTGTCTGCCGATAAGTCGTAGTGACCTATAGCTGTAAAAGGAGACAGTATCTTCGGGATCATAGTTTTTGAACATGACCCCAGTCATCAGCTTTTCCTGCAATCCAGGATGCATACCGTGTATAGCAGAACGGAGAATTGATTCCATTTCTGTGCTTGCTGAATTTCCTGTGAGTATGCAATGATCCCAAAGGAGCAGTAAGAGCCTCAGACGAGCCATCTTTGACGGACTAGGTGGCCGCTCTGCAAAGTCCTGAGCCAAATACCTCATGAGGGCTGCGTACAACGATTGGGTTTCTTTCAGTATTGGATCCGGCAAATCATCGTCTACATCTTTCTCCGTCGGTATAGCCTTGAGGGCTGATTCGATGTTTGAGGACGAAAACTCAACCTGGTAGCCTGGAAGAGTAGAGACGCGTCCACCGCGGGCTAGGCGCATAACTGCGGATATGGCTTCAAAGCATCGAAGAACTGGAGAGCGAAAGTAGGCCAAAGGCGACATTTGGGCTTTGCCGTGTTTATTTAGGCTATACTCGAAAATTAGGGCGTAATCCTCAGGCAAGAACTTGATCTGCAAAGATTTCCCTTCCACAAACCACTCGATAGCCGAGTGACGAGCGCCCGTTTTCAAAGAGTCTTCGACAAACAACATATATGTCTTTCTTGTGACCCGGAGCCCTGCTTGTTTCTTCATGAGCTGCAAGACCTCTTTAGCCCTCGCTTTATCTCCGTCCTCTCCCTCTAGATAGGCTTTGATCATCATATGGAACAACTCAATGTCAATAGTCGACGGCGCTATTAGAGGTACGGGATGTCCAACTAGCGTTTTGTTCAGTCCTGAGTAACGAACTAGGGTACAAAAGTGTGACCAGGCAGCCGATGGTTGATGAGTTTGATGAAGCAGAAGAAGTCGCTGGTGCCACATTTCGGCAGCGCGTGGTATGAAAAGAGTGCACAGCTTGTTCCAGACAACTTCGTAAGCAACGTAATCCTTCTTCTGGAACGCATAATCCAGCCAGACCCGCCATCCATCCACATTGGGGTTGCCACGTTGAGCCAGCACATTCCAGTAGCGCAGTGCTTTCACAGGTTCGTCTAGTTGGAGAAAGGCCGCGACAAGAGCAAGAAGATCGCTCCGTGTAGTCTTTGCTATACCTCTACAGTCTGCTGCAACGGCGCCCGCGTGTTCAAGACCTCCAATATCGTTAGACACCATCGCTTTCTGCACATAGGCTTTGAAAGGATCTCGTCTTGGCAGTCCCCTCTGATAGACCGATTCGTCGTACGCATAAAACTGAAACTTGCCCATGATCGCAGGAACCGCAAGCTTGAAGCCTTGATATATTCTTGCGATCTCCTGGGCGTCGCTCTCAGGGAGCGACATTTGCGCCAAGACAATCCTGAGTAGCGTAAGGTTCAATGTTGCCTCGCTGGCAGCACGAGCGATGAGATATAGCATAGAAGCTTCGCTGATGGACAGGTGGCCGATCTCGGGAGTCCAGTAGATGCCCTGACCAGATCCGAGGTGCCAATTGGGCTGCAAGATGGAAGAGCTCTTCCCTTCAAGAGTAGGAACTTGGCTTTGAGAATGTGTGCCTGTAGCACTTGGCGCATCAACGTTGTCCACAGCAAACGTCATCATGTTGCTATACAAGGCAACTAAGGTGAGTATGGAGTTATAGGCAAGATGTCGATCTAGGTCTGGGTCTGTGGTGCTATTCCCCCTTGCTACGAGACTTGTAAAGTTTTTCACGTAATCTGTTCCATTTTCGGCATCATGACCTTGATCCAGTCTGTCTCGCAGCCGTGGCCATAGATAGTCGTGTTCTTTGACCGGAGTGGTAACTCGAGAGCTCCGGGGGCTATCTCTAAACAGAAACCACTTCCAGACCTTACAAAGTATTCGAAGGCGGATCGCATCATTGTTTCTGTTAGCCAAATCGTGCTCTGTATGCTGGTCTCTTCGGAGCTTAGCATTAAGATAAGCGGTTCTTGCGAAGAAGCCGAGATAGTCGACCCATTCTTGGCGACTAAAGAGATTTCGCCTTACATAAAATTGAAGTACAGCATCAAGATCGATGCCTTCTGAATAATCACCCTCCCGAGTCCATTCGTCCAGGATCCTCTGTAAAACGCGAGTGAGAAGGATTTTTTGTGGTCCAGTAAAACGATAGTCGCTTCTAGCGTGTGGTGTAGTAAAGTATTTCCTGACGAAGTGCCACAGCTGAAATCCGCTTACATCAACTCTTGCTAGCAACTTCAAGAGTCGGGCGAAGAGAGCAGCCCACGCCTGCCTGCTACGCTGGGCCTCGATCTGGGGTCTAAGCAGTTCCGAATCGTCCACCTTTCGGATTAGCGGTATGGAATGGTGGCGAGTTGGTGATGCCAGCTTTTGGGCCCCGCTAGATCTGGGCCCTTTCAATGGAGGTATCCCCGAGGATTGAGATGGTGGGCGATGCCGAGTCCGAAGATGGGCGACAAGTATCCGTCCCAAACCGACACTTCTTCTTCCCGAATAATACAGGTCTATAGGAAGATGATCCCCACATATTCGAAGCATTCGGGCTTGGGAAGACAAGATATAATAAAGCAGCGTTTTGACATTCGACTAGATATTGCTACGAGTATGAAAGGACGTAGCCGCCAAGAGATTAGGTAAGATTTTCATGGCACGTCAAGCATTTTAGGGGGTTGAATTGTACCGAGTACGGAGTACTGGGACAGCTAAATAAATGAAGCCACCAGATGTTCCCCTTTCCAGACAGCATTCAGCTAGACACTACGATAGGACATTCCCGTATTCAACGACAGAGTCCAGCCCCATCACCATCACTACGCGAGTAGAGTCTGACCAGACGAGGTTGTCACCCCTCTCAGCTGAGATACGAATAGCCGGTCAAAATGAAAAGGAGAATTATGTCCAAGGTAGGATCGGCGGTAAGATATATGGCGCATATGATGTAGAAGTGTATTGCATGGCCATCAGCTCGGTAGACAAATACCAGCAATGACAATAGCGTGTACAGTAGGATGTGAAGGGAAGGGTATGAAGTAGCCAGCGCTTACACAAGAAGCAAGCGTTCTAGAAAGGCTGTGCACGAATACGGAATAATATCCTTTTGTTCGATTCTCTTCCAGTTTCGTCACTGCAGAAAGACATCCGCGTCTCACTAGTTAAACAGCTGTGGAAAGAATACTTCGGATCGTTTGAACTTCTTTCTCCCTCTCTCCCGAGCGGTAATAAGACGACCCAAAGAACTCGGATGAATCCTTGGGTCGTACACGCCCAGCCAAGACGACACTCTGGCCCCCCCAACCCCATGCCTAGTCATGAGAAACCTCATTCCACATCGTGTCACCATCACCAGAGTACATTAAACCAAATGCAAGAGTCCTAGCGCCGGGGCTTTGAGTTGCCACCACCAAATATATACGTGCACAGTCCATAAAAGATGTGAGAAGGTTGAAACCGGTTCGAAGAAAAGGAGGAAGAGAAGCTGGGCGAAGAGCTGCAAGGAACTTCCCCAGAACGCACACATACACCAATCTAGCCTTCCAATCTAGTGTTCGCCTCAAGAACGAGGATTAACCTGGCAATGAATTCAGATGTGGCTTGCCCGCTACTACTGTTGCTGCTGCTGCTGCTGTTGTTGTTGTTGTTGTTGTTGTTGTTGTTGTTGTTGTTGTTGTTGTTGTTGTTGTTGTTGTTGTTGTTGTTGTTGTTGTTGTTGTTGTTGTTGTTGTTGTTGTTGTTGTTGTTGCTGCTGCTGCTGCTGTTGCTGCTGCTGTTGGTGTTGTTGGATCGCCTGCTGCTGCATCATTTGCTGTCTCATCAGGGCAATATTCTGCGGGCTGCCTTGACCGTGCTGTTGAGCTTGCTGCATCTGCATCATTTGTTGTTGTGTTATCTGACCTTGCCTCTGTGCTGGATTGAGCATCCCCCGCTGTGTTATCTCATGCATGACTTGCTGTTTGGCACGTTGCTGGAGGATTTCCCGTTGTGCTGGTTGGATCAGTTGAGGGTTCCCGCCATAGTGCTGATTAGCGAGCGTTTGGAACAGGTGTTGCTGCACCACGCGCAGGCGTTGAGTAAAGAATTGCTGCACTTGCGCTGGATTGGTGGGCTGAGCGGGTCGTTGTTGCTGTTGTTGACCTGGAACCTGAGATTGCATGCCGCTCTGCGACGGATGGTGGTTCATCTGGACAGCTTGTTGGTGAGGAGCGTGATTTTGGGGCGGAGAGCCAGCTGCCGCAGCTTGAGCTTGCATGAGATCTTGGGTCATTTTGTGGAGCTGCGCGTTGTAATTGGCGGTTGTGTGTGGAAAAGCATTTTGTGCACTGGGTGGTTGCTGGAAAGTTTGGGGATTCTGGCCATCCTGTTGTTGCTGTTGCAACTGATGCTGCATTGCTCGTTGTTGATGGAGAGTATGTTGCTGCCTCTGGCGATAGGCAACTTGCTCAGGCGTCAGTGTATGGGGATTTCCCGGCTGATTGAAGTTCTGTAGTTGATGTTGCTGCTGTTGACGATTCGCACCCATGACAGCGTTCTGTGCTGCCATTCCAGACATGCCATTCACCCCATTCATCATTGCACCCTGAGACATATGTGGAGTTGGAGCTACCATGCCCACATGTGGGCTGGCGTTGTTCATCCGACTCGTAGGAGTGACTTGTCTGACTACCGGCGTCGAGTGTCTCATTGCTGGGGTGCCCTGAGAAATTTGTGGTGTGCCATGTCTGCTTGAGCCTTGCCCACTTGGCCCTCTAGTCATAGCAACTCCGGGGTGGCCATGTTGCATGCCCGATTCAGGCCGCGGTGGGCTTCCTGCGGCTCCCTGATTCGAAGACGTCGGAGCCATACTCACACTCTGGCTCGCATGTGACACGTGCCCAACAAGTGGTGAGGAGTGGGCATGAGGCGTGCTGGTACGAACCACGGGGGATGATCTTTGAGCTTGGGAGACATGGGCTATATGATTCTGCATATTAGGAGGTACAGCAGAAATTCCATTGATGTGATTGGTGCCCGGTTGCTGCTGTTGCTGCCCTGTCGTAGCTACCGTGGCTTGGATACCTGCATGACGCTGCGACATCTGCAACTGTGCCATCTGTTGTCGACGCGTTTCCTCCATTCTTTGTTGCTGTTGTTGTTGTTGTTGTTGTTGTTGCTGCTGCTGCTGCTGCTGCTGTTGTTGCTCATGAGCGCGGACTCTTCTTGCTTCTTCCTCTCTCTGGTGATTGCGTCGCTGATGGTCTTGTTGGGATTTCCGCTCCTCTTCGAGCCTCTTGTTTTCGGCATGCTGTGACTTGATGTTCTCCAGAGCATTGAATTTCTCGAATCGTGGTTGAAATAGAGTCGCAGCTGCCGGGCCGTCAGCATTGGTTGCATTAGCGGTGGCCGAGCTTCCAATATTGCGCTCATCCATAATGAGCATGAAACGTTCTTGTTCCTTCGCAAGAGCATCGTCCGCTGCAAGCTCTGCAATGGTCCGCTTCCGTCCTTTCGGTGATGGTGGAGGCTCATCATGCCAAGGGTCTTTGAGAAATTCAAGTAAGTTCTGAGCTTCGTCAAGACTATTCAGAGCATCTAGGAACAAAGGCGGTGCGGTGGAGTTGACGATTCTTGCTTCATATTCGAGCAAGTCCTTGGATTCGATTTTCATTTTGAGCTTCTTGGTTGGAGGCCCACGCTCAACAGAAGGTGTCGATGGCACTGCGGAAAGAGGCGTTGGTGGAGGCATGGAAGACGATGGCGTTCGCGCAGTAGGATACGCTTGCGATTGCCGTCGATTTACAGCTTTTGGATCCGGCGTCATTGAGTCGATGACAAGATCCATGTGTTTAGATAGTGCTGTGGGGCGAAGAGCAACGTGGTAGATTTTCGGTTGTGGTTGTCGAGATTTGGGCGATGCCTCATGGAGTCCGTTTTGGATATTCATTGACGATGCACTCTTTGGACGAATTGAAGAGTCTTCATTCGGCTCCTGTTTGAGTGGTGGTGATTTCCGTTCCCCTTCAGCTCTGAGCAGATTCTTGAGTGGGTAAGGTCGCCATGGTGAAGGTGTGATGTACGGATTGTGATTATGTATTGAATACTGGTCATCAGAAGAAGTATTGGAAGCAGACCCGGCAGTGGCTGACACCGACTTGTGATCGACGACACGCACAATCAGCCAGCCGTCATAGAATCGCACATCAGACTTCCGAAGCTCTTCAAGCATGTCATGCGGTATAGTCCTCTTCTGTAAGTGCTCGATAAACATGCGCATTTCGGAGTGATAGCTGAAACTTCCCTCTTGCTGGTCGAATCGAAAATGGGTCGGGTGTAGATGTACAATAAGGGAAGGCAGGTGGCCCTTGAATTTGCGGAGGATATGCGATTCGCTCGGAACTGGAAATAGAGACGTTAGACTGGCCCAACATGCTGAGACAGATGAGTTGCTCACCATACGGTTCTGGATACCTCTTCGCGGACCGCCTCTCAAGAGGGAGCCCATCTACAACACCATTCCTCGTCGCAAGCCTCTGCGGACGTCCTGTTGGCTCTCCCATGCGTTGTGATTCTTTCCGTTGACGATTCGGACGCGGGCCTGTGCCATTCCCATAGACACCATTTTGAGAATTTGCACTGAGCGGAGCTGCACTTCCCGGCAACCTCTTGGAAGCGCTCGAGGGAGAAGGTGACGGGTTTGAGGTTCTATTACCATTTGTAGAGGTTTGCAGATATGGTGGGGGAGGGCGTTTCATTTTTTGAGCCTGGGGAAGGGGCTTGCTGGCTACCGCTGTCGCCCTCTGCGCTGTCGACTCGGAGAAAGTAGAGGTGACGGTATTATGGTCGGAGGATCCAGTCACCCTTCACAATCCCGGCGCCGTCCAGCGATGCTTGAGTGGATGCGCGCGACATGGGGAAAGCGGGGGGTGCCAGGCGTGGAGGTGTGGTATCCGTAGCCCGAGGAACTTGGCCTCAGCAAGATCGCCCTGGGTTTCTCTTGGTATGCGAGGTGGTGTCGATGTCGACCAGGGGATGAAGGAGAATAAATCGACGGGGGGGGTGAACAACGCCTTTGTTCGCATCTGGAAGATTGACGTTGCTGCCAAGCACGGCTCACAACCTGGTCACATGATACCGTGAGAATGAGCAGAAGAGGTGAAGAAGACAGCAGAAGACAGCACCAGACAGCACCAGACAGTGCTAGACAGTGCTAGACAGTATTATGCTCGGTTTGGCTGAGCTTCTTTCACACATGGCGCTGAGCTCTGCGCAGCCCTTCCGGCGTACTCTACTTGAACTCGAACTCATGGAGGCAACCATATCTTATAGCTGCAAGGAGACCTTTTACACAAACACAAAGCGAGGAAACCCAATTGTCCTGTAGTGCCCAATGGGTGAGAACCGTACTCCCAGTCCAGTTATTTGCGCTCAATCATGCTCGCCTGTCCGTCTTTTCCAGTCATCCCCAATCTTCAAGCTATCCACCACCGCAACGGATCTTCCCAATCCAGTCCGTTCCTCCTTCTGCCACCATGGTTCAGCACGAGCTTTGCTTAAGCCATCTTCGTCCTCGGTATCCACGAGCCCCACAACCGTCTGCTTCACCCAGCCGGAGAGGCTGCTAGCTATTTCTCCTTCGCCGCCGCACAAAGACTCCTGCACATAAACGAGTTCGGGAGCCAAGCTTCGAAGAAGGTGGAGATGACCCGCGCGAGTCGTAAATGGCAAAATCATGGTGTCTCTCTCGGCCACGGCCAACGCTTGGTTGTAAAGGGTCTTGAACAGTGATGAAGATTCGTCAACTGGATTCGGGTCGACGATCGCGAGACCAGCCTGTGATCCACCGGGAAACTCTCCTGGGGTGTGAGTGTCACCGTGGCTGATGTTGGAGAAGGATGATGTTGTGGATCCTTGCGTCATAGGAACGCCTGTCCTTGAGGCTAACGCTCCGCTGAGAGGATGCGCTTTGAGTTCGGGCGCATATATCAGCACGAATACTCGGGTGGTTTCAGGATTGATATATTCAGGCAAGTGTGCAAGGATGGACTGGGCATCTTGTCAGAGTGCTCTTGTGCTAATAAGGTAGGATGGGAACTTACAGCATGCTGGCCTATTTCTCCCACAGCGTCACTGCCAATCTCGATAGCAGAAACCACGACGGCAACATTCTTGCGCCTGCGGGATTTCAAAACAGCTGCCTTGGGCATTTCGACTGACCCAGAGAAGTAATCGTCTGCTGTGCCCCTTCGCTTAAGGCCTCTCTTGATTTCTTTGCCATTATCTCTGCTTTCAGCCTCCTCACTCCACCTTTCGTGGTCCTCGTAATCATCTTGACTTCCTTCTCGAATGGTCGTGAGGGCACCACCTACCATAGCTCCAGCCGCTGCCACACCAGCTGCGACCTTCTTGCTGGCCCAGTCATAGGATTGTTGAGGGCTTGGTGTGCGCTTCAATGCCCCTGACATCTTCGACATTAAAGTCCCATCGTCTGGGATTTGTGTTTCAGCACCGGTAGATCTTGCTGCACCCTCATAACCTGTTTCAGGTGGTGGTATTGGTGCACCTTCAAAGCCGCCAGGACCCATCGGCGCCGAGGGTGGCGGTCCTTGAAATCCTGCTGGACCAGGTCCAGGGGGTAGCCCACCACTCATGCTTGCGTAGCCTGGCGGCGGAACGCTACCAGGAGGTTTTTCTTCCCCGCTGTTTTCGTCCTCATCGTCTTGACGTTCTGACCAGATCCAAGCTGCAAGACCAATTGTGGCAACGGTGACTGTCATGACGAGAGGAACCCAATATCCAAGTGTTGAGCGTCGGCTAGATGCGCCATAGCCACCACCTCCTGTAGTCCGCCTCCTGCGGTCAACGCGCTCGTAAGAATATGACATGATTCATGCCCTTCCCAGGGCTTCGAATGACACTCCTGGTTCCTGGTGTGTGTGTGTGCGTGTGTAGGATGTCTATCGAGACTGGAAATGCGAGGTGGAGGAATGCCTAGTGCTTGAAGCGCGCTCACGGTGTCTGTAGTGCAACGAGGCCGCTGAAGGGGCACGGTTAAGTAGGGACTGCGCGTCAATCAGCGAAAGTGGGTCTTCACCAGGTTCGAGAAGCTCTTTGGAGCACCGCTGACGCTGAGGAGCCTGAAGTTCGGAAGGTGAGACGGGCGTTCGTTCATACCAAAGCTGCGCGATGGGGTCCGTCTGTACTTATAATGTGTGTGACAACTGTTTGGCTATATCCTGTACAATGCCCTGATTTGACAACAATCGCACCGAGGCTGCCGCAGCTCGAGAGTATCCAGTCGACTTGACGTTGTGCGGTTGTGAACGAACCAAAGGGGCCCGAGGTGCTCTGGTCCCTTGCGCATCAGCTGTGGTGGGGACCAGCCTACCTATAACTACCTATAAGCTTAACCATCCTCATGCACGCCAAGGGCTCGGTGAACAACAAGAGGACTTCAAGTTGGGCTCGAAGAACAAATATCATATTACAACGGGCCCTCCAATTTCTGCCTAAACCCTGTCTCAACATTATTGTCGTCCCCTATCCTTGCCTGCCTTATCCTATCAGCTGGTCCCTCGGTGATGCCGCCTCAATTTGATAGAGATACAGATAAACATTCCTGACAGGTGATCTTGCCTGGTTCGGGGTGGCAATCACTCCACAGTCCGTCCAACAGCCATCTACATTGGATTGCGTCAGAGATTGGTAGGTATCCAATTCACGTTGTAGACTCTGGTGTTTACCTCCGCCAATTGGTGTCCATGTAGCTTGCAGATATTGCTGTGCTCCGGATGACCATTTCAGCACATGATGACCTGACATGTCAATTGAACACACACTGCATGTTGCTCTCCCTATATACTGCCGCCTTGTAGCACAGATGCTCTTCTGCCCTCTGCACTTGTTGTATTCCATTTCTCTGGTGGGTGGCAACTTGCCCTTGTTTCCCTCTTCTATTCGTATACCATTCTCTCTTGCCAACATCCGACCCTTGAGGTATCCCTATCATACTTCTTCCTATAGCTCTCTACCAGTACCACTTCTCCAACGACAACGATCAAGCTGAGCGGTGACATGTCCGGGTGGAGGTGTCTAAGCAGGTTCAGAAACTGTTTCGGATTGTTGATCTTGTCGTTGATTTTCTTGCCTGTCGTGCCTGTTGATGCTCTGCCACATGGTGAGATACCTGCGACCCAAATCTCCTCACGTTCATAGTCCATCCTGTCTTTCCTCGAATGTTTTGCCACTTGTTGTTCGATCTGCCCCATGTTCCGTCCTTGGCCACCTCAATATGTACGTCCTCGTGCATATTTGATCATTTCCAGGGGGGTGTTCGGTTGCCAATCTCCGATACGCCTCCGCTCCTGTCAAATATTGCGTTGCGATCTCGTCTATCTTCTCTCCGTTTTCATATGCATCAGTGGAATGGTCTAAGTGATACAACCTCCACATGCAGTGGAGACAGCTTGTTGACAATGGCCAAACTCCATGGCCATATAACACCTCGCAAATCGAGGGTCAATTTATCATCTGGCACGTGGATGTGTGACGATTTGTGACGAGCAGGAATTCTGCTGGAAATGCGCAGGAGAATACTGCATCTGGATCTGAACATACCAATACAAGCGATAGCGTTGGGGCAATTGTCAAATAAGGAGTTTTCTCGAGCCGACATTGCATTGGTAAGCATGCCCCCTGTGACTGATGCCTGTCAGACAGAATTCACGTGCAATCTGCTGCTATCATGCAAGAAGGAAGCGGTTTGATCACTGGCTACCGCTGTCTGAGCCACGGCCAACTGGCAGAGCGGGATGTCCAGTAGAAGCAGCACCTTCTATTTGCATAAGACTCTGTCGGATGCTTGCTAACTTAGTCCATTTACCCAACCGTCCGCCCAGATCATAAGCTGAATGGGATGTGAAGAGGACCTTTGCTGCTCTCATTCACACAGCCACAATTGTCAAGCCTCCCCGGAAGACTACTAGTAGCTGCCATAATGCAATTAAGATGACTGGGTCGAAATGTTCACTCGTTGCCTCCTTTCCTCAGACTCTATGGTGACTAAGTCAGTGCTCTCTACAGAGTCTGAGGACAAGAATGATTGGATAGGGGGTCCTCTCATTGACAAGTCTACACTTTCACGTATTTCCAAGAATGATAGTTATATAAAAAATACGAGAGTAAAAAAAGATTACTTTACTATTTACTTTTTATTTTCTAAATATCATCAAGATGGATAAATCAAGCATGACTTAATGCAGATAATTAATCAATCTGGTTCTATCTAAATACATTAAAGATTAATCAATTATTCGTTGAGTTGTAATCATTTTGACAAGTGACAATCTGACTGTTTTTGACGATCTTGTCTTTAGACTCCCCAGACATCTTTGTCTAATTGTCTTGGTTAATCTACCATTGAGGGCCTGAGTGACTGAGGCAATTCATCCCATGTGCTACACTCATTCCTCACGTAATCAGTAGGACCAAATATCTACCACTGACCACTAATCACCGAAAGAAACTGCCGGTTCTGCTCGACTCGATTACGCTCCGTCTGATCCACACACTCCCTCCCTCTGGCGCTGCCCGATCAGTCGAGGATCTATCGGCATTCTCGCATCACCTTCTTGAGATCCACCGCCGATCTCGAGAGGCGGAGAGAGCACCGCGGTGGAGTGACTCCTCCATTCTGCCCTGCTGGGCCAACTCTGTCACGCCATTACATCTTCGAAGACGAGGCCTACTGCAAGAGCCCAGAGATATATGCTGTTGGGAGGCGTTACGAAAGATCTTCCTTGTCGATCACTACTACCTTGTCTGCAGCATCATTTTCACCTTCAGCTTCAGCTTCAGCTTCAGCTTCAGCTTCACCTGCTACCACCACTAGGTGTACCACTAGTAGATACGCAAACCCCCGTTCCAGGAAGATGCCTCATGCACTCTCCACGCCCCAGACGGGTTTCCAGGCCCTGATCCTTTGCGGTCCAGGAGGCAGTCTCAACACCTTCACCACGGTGCCTGCCGAGCACCCCAAAGCCCTAATCACCCTTGCAAACAGGCCCATGGTATGGTATGTGCTGGACTGGTGTTATCGCATGGGCGTCACCAACATCACCCTGATCACCCCGCCAGAATCCGAAACGACCATCTCCGCCGCTCTGGCGCAAAACCCATATCTGACCTCCCTGCCATCACCATCCCCGGACATCCTTGCTCCGGAGGGCCTGGACCACGAAACCGGCACCGCCGAGCTCCTACGCCTTCCCCAGGTCCAGGCATGTATAGTGAGTGACTTCATGCTCTTACCATGCGACCTCGTTTGCCATGTACCCGGGGAGACCTTTCTGGAAACATGGATGGCTCATCTTGGCGGTCTTGGAGGGGCAATTGATGGCACCGAGCTCGAGGTGCCGGGGCCAAAGCGTGTTGGTTTAGGTGGGGAAAAGGGCGGTCGTCGAGGCGGGCTGAGCGTGTGGTACTCGACCGTGGAGCGAGAGGAAAGCGTCAAAGATGAGGAATGTGACTTCTTCGCTACGGCAGCGCTGGACCAGGAGCATGACGCGCCTCTATCAAAGAATGACCCTGACAGCAGGAATCTACAGGGAGTGTTACGGAAACTGGTCTGGGCGATGCCCATGTCTTCATTGATGGATGAGTGCGAGGAGAGCAAGGACCGATCATGGCACATCCGATCGAGTCTGCTTGCCAGGTACGGTTCGATCAAATGCCTGACCAAATTCCGAGATGCACATATTTACCTCTTCCCATACTGGGTCAAGGATTTTGCGCGGCTGAACGACGACTTTGACAGCGTCAGTGAAGATCTTGTGGGGACATGGGCCAAGGCGGATTGGCGGAAGCCGGCTTATCGAGCCCGACACACGGGGCGAAAGAGTTGTTCGGTCGGAAGAGCAATGCGCTGACCAACGGCCTCGTTGCCGACGAGATTCCGATTGAAGAGGAGATTGATCTGATGTCTCTGAGCTCAACGCAGGTGACTCGACATGCAGCCTCGCACCAAAAATCACAGTCAAGCACACCAACCGTCACACTAGCATCAAGGGTCACCGGCGCCATCAACGCCACTGCCGCCAACCACGCTGACGCCGAAAACCCGACACCGATCTCGAAGATAGCACCATCCTCTCCGCTAACGGCAAACCTTCAAATCAACTCCCAAACGACAGCGACAACGACAACGAACCTCCGCCACCCCTCCCCCCGATCCTCTCAT